GGGGGGGGAAAGACGTATTTGTTGGACCGTTTCTGCACAGGTGGGAGAGAATTGATCTAGTTGGGAGCAGGGCGCATTGAAAAGCGTTGAGCATTGATGTGAATGGGGTTGAGCTGAGCCTTTGCAATAATTTACTAATCCAATTCTTTTAAATCATAGCTGGACAAATCTGTCTTTAAGAATCTCGGACTTTTTTGGGGGTTCATATCAGTATTATCATGTGAATGGAGATAATTAATGTTATTTTGTACAGCATATGTTTTTATCAAAGATTTGATTTAGCTTTTATTTTCAAATGCCAAGCTGGCATTATGGTTCTCTCTTTTTCTCTCTGTCTTTCTCTTTCTTCCTTTTTCTTTTTTTGCATTTGATGATAAAACGCTCCCTCTAAGTGCACGATAAAGGTTAAGGAACAGACACCTATATCTGGCATTCCTTAAAATTGTATTTTTAAAATCTCTTTTACAAATGTTGAGTATCTGGGTTTCTTTTTTGACATTCATGTAGAGTGGAGAGATGTTGGCTTGGAATTGCTAATTCATGGAATGCTGATAATGTAATTAATAATGTAGTTTTTTTTTTAAATGGAGTTGTAATGTTCTTGTATGCTTCAAAGAGTCATTCGTAAGAACAACTACATTGGGCCAGACAAATTGTACAGATAGCCTAGCATTCTGATACTTGGAATTTTCTTTAATTATTTATTTCTTAGGTGTTTGAGGTTACTTGGCTCCAAAAAGGTGCTGCGTGCTGCACAGCTAACACATTTTTAACAACTCGTAATCTAAAAAAGGAAAACATTAAGAAACACCATTCACCTATTAGTTTTCCAATATTATTCTCCAGCAAATAGTATTCAATTCTTTGCTTCCAGGCTTGAAGGATTGCAGTTGGAATAAAATGTAAATGTTGCATTCAAACCTATTTGATGGTTTAATTTGGATCTTTTATGACGTATTATTTTCATTGGAATGCTTGTAAATATCATTGCGACCTAAAACTTGGATTTGGAGAGGGAAATCCAATATCATGGATTTGGAGAGGGAAAAATGGAAGCATAAAATGATGCTAATATAGGGTATCTTGATTTAACGGACTGTTAGAGAAAAGAGTTGCCCATAAGATCCAAATCATGTCCATTAAAAAGCCCATGAAAGTTGGCATATTAGTAAAATGATCTTTTTTCCATTTGTATCAGATGTCTGCTGAATAGAAAGCAGGTAAATCTCATATTTACTACATGCTAATCCTTCTTTGCATCAGTGTTGACTCCTAAAGAACGACCTGTGGTTTTCTTGGAAAGATTTTGGAAGTGGTTTGCCACTGTCTCATTCCTAGGGTTGAGAGAGAGGGACTGGCCCAAGATCACCCAGCTGGCTTTGTGCCTAAGGCAGGATTAGAACTCACGGTCTCCTGGTTCCTATCCAAATGTCTTAATGCCTACATTGAACTGACTCTCTATCTAATCTTAGCAGGTTTATAGAATTATAGATTTAGCATTTTTTCCTATGCATTTCTATGCAATCCTATGCAATTCAGATGAATGGTGATGAATATATTGGCTCAAGCAACCACTGAAGTCTAAAAGAATTGCATTTGTAACAGTTCAGATTGCACTGACATTTAGAGCAGAGGTGGTATTCAGCAGGTTCTGACTGGTTCTGGAGAACCAGTAGCGAAAATTTTGAGTAGTTTGGAGAACCGGCAAATCCCACCTCTGACTGGCCCTGCCAACCCCATCTATTCTTTGCCTCCTGAGTCTGGCTGGGTCTTCTTTGGTTGCCCCGCACAGGAGAACGGAGCTGGAAAGCAGGTTAGTGGGGTGGGGAGGGAATGGGATTTTGCAGTGACCTTCCCCTGCCACGCCCACCAAGCCACGCTCACCAAGCCACGCCCACAGAACCATTAGTAAAACAATTGAATCCCACCACTGATTTAGAGGGAAGGACATCTTAAAAATGAACCACTGGGATAACTTCCTGTTTTCCATCTCAATTTTTTTTTTAAAAGGGGGGGGTCGTTCACCTCTGAACAATTGGATCATTCCGGCCTCCTTTTTTCATGAGTGGACAATTTGTATCCAAGATACTTTCCTTAGCAGCCATTCTGTAAATAAGGGCAGTCTCCCATGGAAACCATTTTGCAAATGAGCTCACCGCAATCTATCAAAAGCTCAGCTGTGCCAGGAGACCGTCACTCCATTTGCCTACCAACTTAAGCTGATGCTTTATGTTCTGTGTTACAGAAATGGCCACGGACATACCAGGGTCAGTGACATTGCCAGTGGCACCCATGGCTGCTGGTCAAGTGAGAATGGCAGGTTCTGTGCCTGCCAGAGGGGGAAAGAGGCGTTCTGGGTAAGTAAGCATCACTTTTCAAAATAAGGTTGAATGGACAATATATTTTCAAGATGGAGTCGTTTCTTCTTCTTCTTCTTCTTCTTCTTCTTCTTCTTCTTCTTC